TGGCCCCTCTATTGAACTGTTGTGTTGTCCATTTCCCTGTGACAAGGGCTCTGGTTACAGAGTTATTGATTGGTTTCACGCAGACAGATGGGCCCTTCCTGGCTCCCATCGAAATCCCTGGCTGTATGGGCTGATTGTTGCCTCTCAGGGTATAGGATTGCACCAGAGACCACCCTCCACGCAGTCTCCTTTGCCCGGGCTGTGGATGGTAATAAATGGAGTCAGCCTGAGCAATAATAAAAGCAATCCAGTAGGGTTACCTGTGCAGACACAAGATTTATGTCTCTTCATATTTGATGTGATTGTTTTATTGAGTTCTCAGAACAGTTGGGACTTTATTTGTTTATTTTGGGGTTCCCCCTCTCTTTTCCTCTTTACATCACCTCCTAAACCCAACCCGGAGTTTTTCTGAAGATAAACCCTCATCTCAAAAGTTGCCAGCTGAGGTAGGAACTCATAGCAACCAACCACTGAAAACCCACAAGCCAACCACCAGAGGCTAGTCAGACCCAGAAGTCAGTGCAACCTTCTAAATTCCATCCCAGAACCCTCATGGTAGGAGAGAACCAATTCCCACAAGCTTTCTGCTGACCTGCACCTGAGTGCTGTGTTAGGTGTGTGCCACACACACTCACTCACTCATACACTAAATAAATAAAAATGAAACATTAAAAACACAAGAAGCAGATCAACAACCATGGCTGTCTCACATGTCTCTCTAAGTACGGGTGACCAGAACAGCAAAGATGCCCTCTAGGAAAAATAGCTTTGTGACAGAAACCTCAGATAAGACACTGGCTTGCAGCCCCTTCTGCAAGGCCTGCAGCCCCAGGACAGTTCTCTGTGCTATTTTTCTCATTCCTCTTTGGGATGAAGCCTTTTTCTTAACTCACTGACCCGCCCCTGACTCTTGGCCTGTCACCAACAGTGGTGACAGACAGCTGCAAAGATCTAGATATGTGACAAGCAATGCCACCCCTCTGCCCTAGCTTCCATGCCAAGCCTGGTCCAAGAGTCAAATCCACGCAATCTAGAGCTGAATTTCAGAGGCAGGAACAGACATGTTGGTCTAGGATGTGGCTCCAGAATCCCCATGGCTGCGATTAGTGATTACCAGCTCACTTAAAAAAACAAGTGGTAACCCGCTGCCCACCACCAGACCAGTGACAAACACCTGAGAATTACACAGCAGGGACACCGAAGTGACAGGAACTGGCATCGCTTAACACAGCAACGAGGCTGCAGCGGTCCTGAAGCCAGTGCTGTCACTGCAAGGAGAAATGTGCTCACTTCAAGCCAAACAGGATAAGGAAGAATACAGGGGTGGTTGGTGATTGGCAAGCCCCGAGGGTCCACTGCAAAGATCTAAGGTTGCAGAGTCCTTGACCCCAAAAAGTGTTGACTAGCCTCAAGACATCCATCAGCTAGCTCAGAGACCACTCCCAGAGGGTCTTCAGTAGCCCTAGACTCCACCTGGAGTTCCTGCTGTTCTCTCAAAGGAGTGATCTCTACCCAGGTCAACAGTCCAACCTGAAGACTCAAGCAGGAAAATCCTTCCTGCTTCGTCAAAAACTCAACCTGACAAGGTAACTTTCCCCTCTTTCCGTACATGGATCTTCCATCTCTCCCCTGCCCATAGGCCATCTCCCATACCAGGTTTCAACCTAAAGTTACCTGTTTATAAACACTGTCCCCAACAGTGGTGTCATACAAGCTGAAGAGCTGGCAACTCCACGCTGAGCTGTAATTTATATTTATAACAATTCAATAAATTCCACGACCTGCTCAGAGCTAAGATTTTGGCCAATGGTTTCTGGGTGTGGATGGTTCCCTACCACACACCTTTGGCCCAGAGAAGCATTTCTATGGGGATTTGCCAGGGGAAAACTCAGGTTGGACAGCCAGGGCTTTATTGTGGCAGGACCAAAGAATGCCAAAACCATTTTTAAAGCATGAAAAGCAATTTAGTTTATAGCCATAACAGCATATTTCAAGTGTGGCGACAGCATCTGTTTGGGGGAGGAGAAGACGAGAACCTTTGGCTCAGGTGCGTGAGCAGGTGTAGACTTCCTTTCTTGCCAATATTGGCTCTTGAGCACCTTACTCCGGACATGTATGTATGTACATTGTGTGTGTGTGTGTGTGTGTGTGTGTGTGTGTGTGTATCAAAAACAACAGCAACATGAGTGGACACACTACCATCCCCCAAGCTCTGAACTCAGGCACTCCCACTTCCCAGTACATATCGTATACACAGGGAGATCTCCAGTTCCTTCCTACAGTGAAAATTCTCAGAACAGGAAGGCCCAAGTTCCTGATACAACCAGCACCTGCAGGAATGCCACGCCTTTATCAGGCATTTGCAAGAAACGCGGCTCCACAAGAACCTTCCCCTTCAGGGCAGAGTACCCACAGGAATGACATTGATGATTGGGGTGCCCAAATGTGTACCCGTGACATACTGGGAAGCCTCAACCAATTTTTCCAAAGTACCAACTATGGGAAGATTCTTCCCAAAGCAAAATTTAGAACAGCTTAATAAATCCCATTGACAAATTAAGCCTTGAAGTCTAACTACAGAGCCAGGGCTGCCCATGTTGCTGGCTGGTGGCTTCCCTGCTCCTGGGCTCATGCTCCAAATCACCTTTCAGCAATGCCTACCCAGAAATGCCTCCTTCTTCACACCCAAAGGAAGCCTGTGGGTACCTCACATAACAGGCACCTGAGGCCAGCAGCCACTGTTGGCTGTTAGAGTGGTTGGGCTCGGACCATTCTTTCTCCAAGGCTCATCTCAGAGGCATCACGCTAGTCTACCTTTTTTTTTTTTTTTTTGATTTTTGAGACAAGGTTTCTCTGTAGCTTTGGTTCCTGTCCTGGAACTAGCTCTTGTAGACCAGGCTGGCCTCGAACTCACAGAGATCCGCCTGCCTCTGCCTCCCGAGTGCTGGGATTAAAGGCATGCGCCACCACTGCCCGGCTCCTAGTCTACTTTCTTATAGCTTGGTAGATGTACCTTCAGACTTCTGGAGTTTGATGTTAGGGTCACTTGTCCTCTGCACTCTAGGACTTTTTAAGAATGAAACATCCTCAAACTTGTACCTAAACCAGCTTTAAAAACAGCTCGGCCATCCATGGATATGTGTTGGAGGGGGAACAGAGAGGGAGGGTGCTGGGCAGGGTAGCTGCCACACCCCACCCACATGAAGCGAATCACTGTGACTTATGTGTCTTGGACTCTCCCAAAGCTTGCAGTCCCATCACAGACAATAAGTGTATCTCCAAACAATCCCCAGGGCACCGCTGCCCAGCCAGGTGACATTGTCCCTCACTGCAGTCACTCTTGGCTCAGCTACTGTCCTCCTAAGGCCTCAGCTCTAGCTCACCGCAGGGACCACCAGCTGGTCTAGAGGCAAAGTCTCTGGGTGGGTGGCTCAGAAAAAAAAAAAGGAAAAAGAAGTGTTGTTCCCTTCCCCTAACTGTCACACCTGCCTCAATCCCCAAGCTTCCCAGCCTCCCGACTTTTAAACGCAAAGCACTTACTGCTTTCTCAAACCACCCAGTGTTACTCTCCAGCTCTTTTGGAAAAGTGTCTAAATGTCAATCAGCCACACGTTTCCAGTACCTAGCTGAGCCAGGCCCAGGGAGCTGGAGAGTTTCGGAGGGTGTATAATTAGCCGATAAGTATTATGTTACCCTGTTCATAACTGAATAACCATTTTAATACAGATGGCACACACTGGGATAATTTCTGGGGTCGCCTTGCAGTATGTTACAGCACGAGTGTGGCAGAGGGAATCTTCTTTAGCCAAGGTACATTCTACCAGCTAATTCTACCTGCTGTTTTCGGGATGATTTGGGATAATTCCATATCATTTGCAAAATATTTAAAAAAAGACAGGTGAGGCTAGTTGCAGAGAGAAACACCATCTGAATTATTAGTCGTCCTGATAATGGGCCTATGAAGGGTACAAAGAATAACAGAGTATGAAACCCTTAACTCTCTTCTCGTTTGGGGGTCCCTGGAAATGAGGGCGACCTGCTTTCTGGCTGGAGTGTGACTTTCGCAGTCCTGAATCTCTGTGTACCATGGTCAGGCTCTAACAGTTCTGACGCCAGTTTGAGATCGTGAGATTGAGGGCTGCCTGAATGTTCCCTAGACTGATACCCTGGCTGGGGTGCACATGCATAAAGCATGACCTGCCATCTCCCAGACAGCACTCCAGAGTGATCTGGGACTTAAGAGACCTAAGTATCCTGCAAGCTGAACTGACTAGAGCCTGCATGGTCCCAGTGTCTGAACCTATCAGCACGGAAAAGATTGCAGCCTCCTTCTGGCATGCCTGGTGGTGGGGGCATCTCCCAAGAGTCAGCCGCAAGGACCCTGCTCTCACTCCCTGCCTGGCATCCCGGTCCTTGTCCAGCTCCCCTTCTCTCTGCCAAGTCCTGGCTGGTGGCTGGCATCTACTTTGTAGGCCTGGATGCCAGTGCTTCTCGGCCGGAAATTTGTGTGGCGCTGGCTAGCAAGACCTGGGCTCCTGGGAGGCAAGCTTTGTGGGAGTTGGCTGAAAGGGTAAAGGGGTCAGGATTCTGGATGCCCCTGGGGAAGGGTACATGACTTTAGAAAGAAAAGTCTGTTTGGAAGCGGTGAATAGACAGTGGTCATTTTAAAAGCTTTGCTATGGGCTGTGATTGTCTCTAGATCCCGAGGCGGGTAATCTTGGAGTCTTAATTACCACAAACACTTGGATTCATTTCCAGGACACCGGCGGGAGAAGCCTGGCAGGGAAAACTCAGCTCTGAATTGGAAAGAGCCCTGTCTGTCTGTCTGTCTGTCTATTTATGCCTCTCAGGTCCATTTTCCTTACCCAAAGACTTCAGGCTAGGGGCAGGAAGGAGGGATAGAGGCTGGACAGAGTGAAGATGGACCCTGGGAGATGGCCCAACAGGCAGGAGTAGGGAACTGGAGCCCTGCTCTCCAGGCCCAGGGGGGCTTTGCTCACCTGTTGATGGATGAGACGCTGGGCACTGTGTCATTGTCGCAGATGCCCTCAGCTAGCAGCCGGTCACGGATCTCCCAGGCGAACATAGTTGGGTTCTGCCGCTTGTATTCAGCAATCTTGTCCACCACTTTGGGCGTTGCCACCTTGGGCTTGGAACCGCCAATCACTCCAGGCTTGATGCTGCCAGTCTCGTAGTACCTGGGCCAGGAAGGCCGTCGGGGTCAGCAAGAAGCCGGTGGTGGCAAGGGCAGGGGGGCTGCAAGCTCCAGAGCTGCTAAGCCGCTCTCCCTCCCTAGGCATCAGTGTGAAGGGAAAAAGGCCCTGTGTAGCTGAGCAGACTCCAGAAGGTGCTTGACTAGGGCATTGTGGCTGGGCGTGGACAGCGGGCTAGAGCAGGCACCCTGGGGAATGGAAGCCTGGCCCTCAACTTAAGAAGCAGAGAAGGACCCCTGCTGCGAGAGCTGATCCCATCTAAAGCCCAGAGTCCCTATGGAACCTGGACCCGCCTTTAGCCTTCCTAATGCTGTCTTTTCTCCTTTTGGGATGCCCCTTCTTCCAACCCCATTCACATTGCTTAGCTGGGGAAAAAAAATCCCTCCTTTTCTGAATGTAACTGCCTTCCTCGGAAGGCCCAGGGAGCTGGGTTATGTTGGGTAGACTCTACTCCACCCTCACTCCAAGGCTCAGCCACCATAGCGGCCCTTTCAAAAGGGGCAGCCAGTCTTTTGATCCCTTTAAGTCTGGACCTTCCTTTCGTGCCTAGCACCTCAACTTTTAACTAAAGCCTCAGCTGGAAAGGGAGGCAGCGCCCGGCCCTCACCTGCCCAGGATTTTGCTGACACAGCCATGGCTGACCCGCAGCTGCCGGGAGATGTCACAGGGCCGCACACCCTGGTGGGCCAGCTCCACGATGCGCTGCCTCACCACGTCGGGTAGGGGCCGGCCGTTCACAAACACCCCCCCGAGCTGGTTCACACCCCCGTGCCCTGCTGGGGAGAGACAAGAAAAAAACACAACACCCCACAACAGCAGGGACCGGCCATTAGTCAGGGTCCGAGGCCAGCCACGTGCGAAGGGAGCAAGCAGGGCTAAGGGGCATATCCGGGGATTCGGGGTGAAAGGTGGCTTGTTTGCGTGCAGGAAAGAGGAGGATTAGATATTGGACCCCGGCTAGCTGGGCTAGCTGTAAGAACCGAGAAGCTGGCCTAGGGAAGAACCCGCCTCTCAGACTAGCGCGATGCAAAGGAGAAAGTGCTCGAAGAGTAGAGAAGCCAGGAGAGAACAGATGCGAAGAATGGAAAGGGAAAACAAACGACAAAGGGGAAATAATGCCAGCAGGGATGAAAGAAGGGAGATGGGGAGAGAAAGGACCGGGCCAGGGACAGCACTGTTGCCGACTAGGAACCCGCCAGCAGCCGCAGGCTAGGCGCTGTTTGGGTATCACAAGGGCTTGGAGCCAGACGATTTTGGAGGGTCGGGGTCCTCTTGACTCAGCTCAGCGGGGTATTCAGTATAAAGAGGGACTAAGTCAAACGCAGCCCCTTTTCACCTTCGCTGCCTACCTCTCCCCTTGTATCTGTTTTTAATTGTAATTGTACGATGTCCTCTTTCCCTGTTTTTTGCTTTTTTTTTTGTTTGTTTGTTTTTTGTTTTAATCGGGAGTTCTTCCTTCCCTTTTTGTTTTCTGTCTTCAGGTATTTGGAACCATATTTTCCCTCTGCATCCCTAATATCTAAGATGGAAAGAAATCCAGGTGAAGAAGAAACGGCAGAAGAGATAGTGATTTGGGATCCGCTGCACTCCGAGATAGCGAGACGGCTAAGAGTCTCACTCGTCCCCAGCAGCCGCTGACGAACGTGGGCTGCTGGGTTCTCTTGCCTACTATGCTGCCCCAGCCCCGAGTGGCATGGTAGGTAGGGACCGCACCTGCGGAGTTAGGACTCGGGGCACTGGGTGTTACAGCCTAAGCCAGTTGGGGACCCTCTGACCTCTCAGACCTCAGCAGCTGTCCAGGAAACCCAACAGTAAGGAAGGATGTTCCGGAACAGAGCCCTTGGTTTCCAGACCAACTAGGCAACTTGGTGGTGGTGGGGGGGGGGGGGGGCTCCCAACCTGGAAGCTGAGAAGGCCACCGGGGTACCAGACTCGAGGCCGCTGCCAACTGCCCCATTTTCCGCGGCCTAAAGCAGCCTAGAAATCCTGCACCTGCAGCGGTTAACCTACAGCAGCAGTTACTCAGCAATCTAACAGCAGAGACTTCTAGCGGCAGAGTCAGGACAGACAAGGTCTGCAACCTGCAGCCACTGCCCCATGGCCTCCAGCGAGTTTCGGAGAAAGCGGGCACAACTCGTGTCCCCTTTATCTCTTTCCCATAGCATTCTGCCGAGACCAAAACAAGCTTGGGAGAAGCCCCTGGACAGAGGCCTCTAATCGAGAGGCTCCGGGAAGCCAGAACCTCTTATCTTACACGCCCCCCCCCCCCCCGTCCCCATAGTCTCCCCATCTTGATCCCACTCTTCTCCCCCTCCCCGCCCTACAAACCCCGACCATCAATAATTTAGGCCCCGGGAGAACTCGCGTTACCGGTATGAAAAGGCGGCAGCTGCGGGCAGATTAAAGATGAATAATTCAGCCTCACCGGGCTCCGGGCCGGCCCCTCTGCCCCAATATATGGTATGGGGATTGCAACCGGGCACTTCTGGAGTTCAGGGCCGATGGACCGCGGAGGACCCGCGCTGAATCAGGCCTGGAATGTGCTACTGCCGAGGGCACCGACCCGGGCTGTATGTAGCTGCTCGCCCGCCAGCCGCCTGCCTTGCCGGCCCGCGCAGTGGCCTTCTCCCTTCCTTCGACCACCTTCTGCTGGCTTTGCTCCTCTTTTGGTTTCGGAGTGGTTCCCTAAGTCTGGCCCTGACTGGCGCGTCCCGGAAGCAGTCCCCAAAAATTACTGAGCTAGGCAGCGGCTGAAGGGCCGAGACGGAGGCTGGCCGCCTTGGTGAACCGGCATGTGGACTGTTTCATTCCCTCCGAAAAAGAGCTAGGCGTCCCGGCTGCCAGAGACACCCGCAGTGGCCCGTAGTCCCTCGCTTGGGTTTCCTTTACCTAAAAATTATTTAGGGAACTATATTTTAATTTTTTTAATCGTCCCGTAAAGTTAAACGTGTGCTTAGGAAAGGAATAAACAAAACATGGTTCTCTCTTATTGTATCATATTTTAAAGCACAGAACAAGGCTAGGTCTAAAAAGTTACCTTGTGGAAAGTTACAAATTATCCTTAATTATTAATCTATACATGGGGAGAGGCTTTCTATTTAGAATATTATTTATATTTTTAAGCAAAGGAAAATATCTGACAAACAGTTTTCCAAGTTAAAGACCTAGCATGAATTAGACAAATTCAAAATTCATTAGCTATTTCCCGTTTCCTATTTTTCTGTTTCTCCATCCCCATAACATTTTTTTATTTTCTTTCCTTGATTTCCCCCTCTTGGTTTGATTTCTCTTTCCTTTCTCCTCGGCTATAGCATTTGCCTTTCTTTTGTTCTTTCCCTCTCATTTTTCCATTCTTGCTGACCCCCTGGCCAGGGTGCTGGCTGCTTGGTCCTTAACAGAGAGTGGAGGCAGGCAAAGAAGGCTCCAGAATGCAGAGCATCTACGAGCTGGTTCGGAAGGCTCTACTACTTGCTTTCTTCCTGACTTTGATTTCTTCTCAAAACCCCTTACTGTTTTTAGAACGATCACCCCCCTGGGCAAAGTCAAGAAAAGTGACCACCTTCTCCTGCCAATCTCATGTTCCTAGCTGAAAGGGAAGAGAAGGAGAAGGCGGAGAAGTGAGGATGAAAGAAAGAGGATGGGAATATTTCAAACCAGTCCCCATGAAGCCTGGGCTAAGCTGGAAGGAACAAGAGAGCTGAGGCTCAGAAGGGGGTCACACCCCCAGGAGCTTCTACTTCGCTGTCCTGACACCTAGGCTGCTCAAGCTAGGAGCCTCCTCCTGATGGTCCACAACTCTAAGTTTGAGAGAGGTAGATATGAGGGGGAGGGTGGAGAGAAAGAGAGAGAGAGAGAGAGAGAGAGAGAGAGAGAGAGAGAGAGAACTGTCAATTAAATCCTTCAGTCCAGGGCAAAAGCTAGGGTGTAGTGGGTGGCTCGGACCTGGGCCCAGGGCTATGTATCCCGCGAGGTAAGGAGGAGCAGGTGGAAGGAGCAAAGGCAGGTGGAGCACTAGCAAAGGTACAAAGGCAGACAGAACGATAAGCATGGGGTGTCAAAAAGCAGAAGAGAGTAGCTAAAGACAGGAGAAACACTAGGTAAGAGAAATAGGCAGGGCACGAAAGGAGGGGCCGAGAAAAAGCCGGTGTGGCCTCTAGGATAAGACCTGAGCGCAGGGGGCCGGACAACACTGGGGCTAGATGGGATTGGAACCGAGACAAGAGCCGGGCGCCGGTACTCACGGTGCATCGCGGAGAAGGGGTCTGCTTTGCAGTGCATATCCATGGGGAGGCAGAGGAGCGGGAGCAGCGCGGCCGCCGCCGCCGTGTCGCCTCTCAAACTCAACTTCAGGACTTGAGGAGAAAAGGAAGGGACGGTGGGGGAGGGAGGGTGAGCGGGTGCCCGGCTACTGCGGGGTACGCAAGGGCGGGGGGCGCCGCTCTGGGCTCCCCGCCGGGACTCCTCCGGGCCCGCCGGGGTTTGCAACCGCAGCGGCTGCAACTTGCCACCGTCGGGGCACGCGGCTGGGCAGTCAGTAAAGCAGCCCCCGGGCGACGGGCTGGGCCAAGGGGCACAGGGGGCGCATGGCTCGCGCGCCAGTTGCGGCCAGAACTGAGGCCGGGTGGGGAAGACGGCTCACTCAGCTCCCCTGGAACCCGGTGGTCTAAGAGGCTCTGAACGGAGAGGGCTCAGGGCAGGGGCCGCCCGAGGGCGCCGGGAGGGGAGCCGGGCCGCTCCAAGTGCCGGCGAGTTGGCGAAGTTGGCAGAGAAGTAGCAATCCCCGGGATGTCCAAGCGGCGCCCGCGGGAGGGGAGCGCGCGAGCCGGCCCCCGCCCCCGGAAAAGGCAGGCGCTCGCCGCGGCGGCCGGAGGGCCAGGAGGGAGGGAGGCAGCCTAGGAGCCGAGCGGCGCCCGCAGCGCTGTGCTGGCCCCAGGTGGGTTGCGGCTGCAAGAAGACTCGGCCCGAGACTGGAGTCTGGGCTCCCGGTGTGTGTCTCTCTAAAAGCTGCAAAGCCCCCTCCAGACCCCCTCCTCCTCCCCGCGCCGGGAGATGGATGACTTGTCAGACAAAGGCAATAGATTCCACCACTCTGTGATTCGCCAGCGCCGGAGCCCCGAGCTTCGGCAAGGAGGGCCCCGCGCCTGTCACTCCGGTGCCGGCGAGGGGAGGGCCGGGGAGGGGGAAACGGGAGGGAGTAGCGGGTGAAGGAAGAGGGAGGGTGAGGAGCAGGCCAGGGGGAGGAGGACTGGGAGCCCGGGATTAAAACTACACTGAGAAACGAAACTCGCCGAGAAGATAAACGTTAGATAAGGATAAAGAACGGCCAGCCTAATGAATATTCAGGCAACCACAGTGGGCCTTCTAGTGCGCAGCGCCCCAAAGCCAGGCTCTCTGTCCCAACTCGCCCAGCCCTGCCATCCACCGGTCAATGCCCGCAGATCCCACTGCCCGCGGGTCCTCATCCTTAGTCTTAAGTCGGCTATCCTTAGCGCTGAGTTCCCTTCCGTTCCTCCCTGTGTCTTCCTTCCTCCCTCCCTTTACCTCTGGTCCTTCCCTTTCGCCTTTCCCTCCTGTGGTACCTTCCCATCCACGAACGCCTGATTTTCATTCCGGGGCAAAGTGCCCAGCAGTTTGTCCCCTCCCGTCCCACACGCTGTGGCGCGCGCCCCCTCCCCGAAGTCTGGGCAGCCCAGAACGCTCGGTTCAGAATCAAGCTAGAGGCCTCTGGCTAGGACCCACCTGCCTTGGTGGGACCCAACGGACGGCAGGAAAGCCAGGGAACTTGGCTCTTGGACCCTCGGGTAGCTAGGGAGGGGATTGGGCTAGAGACAGTGCGCAGCGGCTTGTCCGCCACGGCGGCAGAGAATGCAAAAGCCCAAGGCGGGACCAAGGCGCTCTCTCTTCCCGGCTGGGGAGAAGAGGCTGAGCGCCGCCCGCCGCTAGCTCTGCGGATCCGGAACGAGCGCAGCCAGCGCAGTACGCCGGCCTGGCCCGGCTTCTATCCGAGCCGCTGGCCCAGTCTCTGCAGTCTGACCCTCACTCGCTCCCTTGTTCGCTGGGGTCCTCTCTCACTCACTAAGCAAGAGAAGTCCTTTGTCTCCTAACTGGTTAAGTACAGAATATCCGGGAGATCTTTATGAAATATTTTCCCTCGTCTCATAAATCATCTTGGCACTTCAGCTGATGTTTTAACTCTCTCTCTCCCCCCTTCGCTCCCTCCTCCCAGGCTTCCCTGGGTCTGAGAAAGGGCGGCTCTGAGAAGCTCAAGCTGCCAAACAGTGCTTTCTTGCCTGGCGGATCCGAGCCTCTTGGCGTTGTCTGTAGCTCCTGAAGCCCAGAGGAAGGGCAGTGAGCGGATTCATGCCCCTGTACTTATTGCCAAAAAGCCTCAGCAATATTTGGGATTGGGGAAAGCACCCACTAGACTCAGACTGACTCCTACTGGGCATCTAGAACCCTGGTTTCCAAGGATGTCCTTACTCTGGGAGGGTTTCAGGCCAGGCTCGGCTGCACAGGATTCTGAGCTTTCCATTGCTTGGGGAGATGGGTCCGCTGGGATCCGGGCCTTTGCCCTGTCTCCCGCAAATTTCTGATACCGATCTGATTAATCCAATTGCAGAGTAACTGCTGAAAATTAAAAATTAAAAAAATAACAAAACAAGATAAAAATACCTACCTGTCTGCCGCCCACCGCTCTGTCCCTCACTTCCCTTGGGATGAGGACAAGGTTGGTTCCCCTGGGCTGGAGGTTGCAGGCTCAGGGGTCCTGCCTGGAAAGCTAGTACCTTCCTCCTAAAGCCTGCAGATGGCGCTCGCAGGTTTGCTTTGGCCTCACAACCCCGGGAACCCGCACTAACTTCGCGTGGAGGAACCAAAAAGGAGAAACAGAGTAAGTCAGTTCCCCAGCCAAGAGAGCCAGGACCTCTCAGGTGGCACTAAATGGCATAGCGTTAGCTTCCTTCCAAGAGCTAATCAAATCAGAATTGAATGTGGGGAGCATTAAAAAGAAACCGTGGTTAGAAACCCATAAAGGAGCCTTGGCCAGTCTCCGTATGTTAGGTGTACATAAGTTATGTCTTGATGAGTCTGAACTGTTGGAGAAACAAAAATGCGTGGAGTCCCTCGTTCCACACAGAAATCCACATTTCTCTAGAACTCAATATATTCCTTTTTCGTACACTATGAAGTGTGAACGTGGACGATGGGCATTTTCACGTACTGGGAAAAGGGATGATCTTTACATTTTGTAAAGAGAACTAACAGTTTGTAAAGCAGCGTGCTTGAAGTTCGCACCCCCACACTCGTACCTTTTATATAGACCCTCTTGGAAATGATGGCTAGTAACTGTCCAATGTCCAGGTAGCCTCAGAAAGCCCTAGCACGCCTTTCTCCCCTTGCTCCTGGGACACTCTGTCTAGCTTCCCAGGGGGTTTCTGGCTCTAGATAATCAAAAGGCAAACCACCCCGCTGCTTTGGAAGCTCCGTTAGCCTCTGCACAGCCTTCTCTCTGGACTTCAGCATGAAGGGCTGGCCTGCATCTGTTCCTCCTCGGTGGCCTCTCGCTCCAACTCCCCTTTCCTGTTCTTTTTCTTCTTCTATGGGTCCTAACAGAAGGGGAAAGAGTAGGGGAAAAAAGAAGAAAGAAGAGGAAAGAGAGGAAAGAGAAAGAAGAAAACAACCCAACCCCAAACACAACCAGGGCTCCGACCTGTCAGGGTTGGTTGCTTTTCCCTCGTCTGCCTCTAAATGAACCTTTTCTCTCCAGTGTTTTCAAAGCAGCCCTTCCACCCCCACCCCAACCTAGGGGCATTTACACTTCAAACAAGGCGCCCGCCTCCCTGCGGAAATTTAAAGGCAAATAAACTTTTGGGGAGTTGCTCTGATACCCATCTCGGGATTTGCTTCATTAGCCGCCTCTGTGCATCTGATCTGCCCAATAAATCTTCCTTGTGGATCTCGGCTCCTTCGCCTTCTCCGCTCCCATCTCTGCCATGCTAGCTTGGCGCCTGGCGGCCCACTCCTACCTCCTCCCTTTCCGACCAGCTAGGGTTCTGCACTGCTCCACTTGAGTGTTAGGTGTGTGGGAGGCTGTGGTCGCGATAAGAAGGACCTCCTGTATAAACTTATGCAGAGGCGTCCCAAGCCGTGTGTGACTTACACCTCAGCTTCCAATGTATTTCTAAGCAGATTACGCATAAGTAAAGTGTGAGTGGAGATCCTGCCTGCTAACTCCGCTTGCCCCGACTCCTATTTGTGACTCTTTTGCTAGGTTTTTGGTTTGTTTGTTGCCCAGGAACTTTCTGTCAGGACGGAAAAGAGAGTGACGTGTCTGCCTCCCTTCTGCTCACACAGCGCTACCCTGGGACTAGGCACGGGGTCCCAAACAGTTCTCGAAGGTGTCTGTGCTACGGGTATCTGGAGAGGGCCCGGCTGCAGTGGAGCATCCCAGCTGTGCCCCTCCCCCGTGGCCTAGGCTTGTCTCTTTCCTTCTACCTCCTGGGGAGTAGCGAGGGGAGCTAGGGCCTGAGCTCCAACGGAGGGGATTAGAAATTCCGAAATTAAGCGTGTCTCCCCAGGAAATGCTCCCCACAGCGCAGACCAAATTAAAAGCATTAAAGTGTGTGTGTTGGGGGGTGCTGTTTAGAATTAAGGGACAAAAAAAAAAAACTAGAAAAAAACCTAGTCCGAAGGAAAGCACAATCCAAAGAGGGAGAAAGCGCCGGTTGAGAAGCTACTACGTAGCCCAGTGTCTTTTCTGGATTATTCCATTTGGAACTCATCATATCCACTAACAAAAAGAAAAGAAAAAAAGTTCTTACAATCAAACTCTGGGTCGCACACCCGGGGCCCACTTGCCCTCCGAGTGCGCCCTTGGAGGGCGTACCCTAGGCGTCCAGATCCCTGGCAGTGGGTGAACGCTCTGAGGCCCCTCTCAGGCCCCGCCTGACCGGCTCCCGCCAGCCCCCCCCCCCTCCACTCCCCCTGCCTAGCCGGCTTTCTGGTCACATTGGAGGATTTTTTTTTTTTTTTTGGAAGAGCTTCTGGTACAATATGGAGCACCATGGGCTGCAATTTCACACTCCACAGCGCATTCTCCCTAAAGCTACTTTTTTTTTCATCCAAGACCCCCTAATTTCTGCTTCCTCGCTCTCCCCCCTTGCTCCCTCCCTCCCTCCTGTTCTCACTCTTCGTTTCCCGCCTTTGTTCCCAATATTTGGACACCCCACAAGAATCCCGGGGGTCCTGACTGCCAGCTGGCCCCGCCCGCCTAGTCTGTTGGTCCTGTAGAGGCCGAGCACACGTGCTGAGCCTTTATCCTCCTTGGCCCCTCCTCCCTTTAACCCAGCTTCCCTACGTAAGAGGA